TCCGTGCTGATGCTCCAACCAACAGAACTATCTAGTGTGTCCTACGGCCACGGAAGTCAGTCTGTTTCTTAATAAACATTTACATTAAAAAAGCTCACATGTTTATAATTGTTTCTACTATTAAAATTGTGCAAATCACTATTCCTTGCACAAATATATTGTGATGCAACACTCAAGGTAAAATTTTTCTGAACAGTTCTCTCAGAGATTCTCGGGCTCCTAAGCATTACCTAGATCTTATTGCACGCTTTTTATTTTTTTATATTCACGCTTTCAATAGTATTCTACATATTAGTATTGTTCAAAATTTTTACACATTTCAAGTGTGTTAAAAGTGCCTACAATATTTATTAAATGGGTGACGACATATTCGAGCACTTTGTGTTTTAAAAACACACACTTTCAAAAATCGAGATTTGTAGGGAACTTATTGTATATGATTATCTATTAGGTAATAATAATAGTAAATAATTGTTATAAACCCATATAGTTATCATCATCATCATCATTACATCCCTCCACAAGTCCACTGCTGGACATAGGCCTCCCCAAGGAATGCCACAAAGCACGGTCCTGAGCCATCTGCATTCATCGACTTCCTGCATGTCATAACAGGTCGTCACTCTATCTAGTGGAGGGTCGCCCTACACTTCGCCTACCGGTACGAGGCTGCCACTCGAGAACATTTTTCCCCAACGGTTGTCGGTTCTTCGAGCTATATGGCCAGCTCATTGCCACTTCAGCTTACTAATCCGTTGGGCTATGTCGGTCACTCTGGTTCTACTAGGGATATCGTCATTTCTAAGTTTATCACGAAGAGAAACCCCGAGTATAGCCCTCTCCATAACTTGTTGAGGACCTTCAGCGTCCTCATACGGCCAGCAGTGCAAAACTCTCAATTCCATAAATCGTCACTGGCAACACGCATTGGTTGTACAGTCTCGTTTTCAGGTTTTAAGGTATAGCTGACGAGAAGATGTGTCGTAATTTCCCGAACACTGCCCTGCTGAATTGAATCCGTCGATTGACCTCTCTCCGAAGTTGGAGTTACCAGTGTACCAGTCGGACTATTCATCCCAGGTAAACGTACTCATCAAAAACTTCGAGCTCAGTGCTCCTAACAACTACCGGCATAGATGTGACGTAGACGTTACACATGATCTTCGTTTGTCCATGTTCATCTTAAGTCCTATTCGTTGGGAGGCACCATTGAGGTCATTGAGCATAGTGCTTAGGTCCTCCAGCGATTCTGACATAAGGACTATATCGTCGGCAAATCGAAGGTGAGTGATATATTCGCCATTGATGTTGATTTTTTTTATAGAAGAGGGGCCAAAACAGCATATGGTTCACCTGATGTTAAGTGACTACCGCGACCTATGAACATCCACAATACCAGAGGAATCGCAGGTGCGTTGCCGGCCCTTTAGATAGGAGTAAGCTATTTTCTTGAAGGTCCCTAGGTCGTATTGGTCTGGAAAAATCGCTATCGTACAGTGGTGGACTGCCGAGCATCCAGATGATGTGGATGGCATCGTTTGCGGCGTAGTGCGTTCATGAAATTTGGCGGCTGGGATTAATCCGAACAAGTCCTGAGAGCACTCCCCGTGATAGATATGATAAAATACGCAAAGAGATGCAACATATTTTCGCAGCGCCAGTGAATCGAGCCGATTGGAAAGCACTCGGTCGTCGACGATTCGAGCTACTCTACGCTGGATGCGATCAAATGGCAGGAGCTGGCACTGGGGAGCCCCGGCCCAGAGATGGAAACAGTATTCCACGTATGGCCGAACCTTTTGCCTTCTCTTCCAAGTGACTACGAAACTGCACGTCACTCGATATGTCGACGCCAAGGATTCCAATACTGGCTGAGGTAACAAGGGGAGTGCCTTGAAACTGAGGAGATACGACAAAGGGGCTTATTTAACGGTTAACGCGCAAACTTGTGTCTTCTGAGGGTTAAATTGGACTAGATATAGTCGCCCCCAATCCGAGACTTTGTTCAAGACTCGAATTCAGACACAAGTTTGTCCCGGTACTCGGAGACATTTTCCCAAAAAATATTGGCGCGGCCGGTGTACAGAGCATCACCAATGCTGTCATATGCATAGCAATAAATGTTGCTGGTTTGCAACATATTATTGATGTGCAGAAGAAACAGCATTGGTGATATCACGCAGCCTTGTGGAACACCAGCATTAATAGGTTTGTAATCGGAGCTGGCACCGTCTACAGCTATCTTAATGCTCCGATCTGCAAGAAAGCTGGTAAACCAATTGCACAATTTTTCGGGAAAACCATAGGAAGGGAGCTTCGAAAGAAGCGCTTTGTGCCAAACCCGATCGAAGGCCTTGACAATGTCCAAACTAACGGCCAATGCCTCCCCATTGGACTCTACTGCTACCGCCCATCTATGTGTCAGGTAGACCAGAAGATCACCAGCTGATCGACCACGACGAAAATCGTATTGGTGATTACTAATCAGCTGGTGATTCTCAAGGTACCTCATGAGCTGGCAGTTTATAATGGACTCAATCGTTTTGGAGAACAAGGAGGTGATGGCGATGGACCTGTAGTTGGACGGGTCTGAGCGGTTGCATTTTTTAGGAATCGGGTAGACGAAAGCCGTCTTCCACGATTTTGGGACTACGTCTAGGGAGTAGGAGTACCGGAAAAGACACGTTAAGACCGGTGCCAAGCACACGTCCTCAGCACAATTGGGGGGATACCGTCAGGCCCACTCGACTTGTGGATGTCCACATTTCGATTGGGCCTGACGGTGGGCGCTGGGCCTGACGTCCACAACAATGAACTGAGCGCTGTATGAACAGGAGCACTCTCACCGCGGGATGGTCGGTGGCGTACTCCCCCCGTCATCGAAAGTCGAGTTGGACGCAAAGAAAGAGCCTAGCAGGTCGGCTTTCTCCATTGCGGCACGGGCCAGCATATTTAGTAACAACTAAAGGAGACAGGGAAAAGATTGTGAATAGAACTGTTAAATTAATAAGGGGAGATTATGAAAGAGATGTGAACATAGATAATATTTAGAAAACTAACTTATAATTAATGTAGGTGATGATAGATGAAGAGGTGGCATTGAAGTAATATGTACTTACGTACTAGAACAGCTATTTCAAATAAAAAATGTGCGCTACTCTGTGTTCGCGTGGTTATTTTTTTATCATAGAATAAATATAGGTAGAATGACCCGTAAGTAATAGTAGATTGTATTGTGAAATAGGTAAATTATATACAGAACAATATTTAAATTTTGTCATTTATTTTGTATATTATATTTGCTTATTTAATATAATATTACATGATATTATATCACAATTACATTTGAATGATATTTTTATCTGAATATTTTAAAAGGTATAGTCAAATATAAAAAACATACTAAATGTATGTTTAACAAAGCTTATTAACACAACATTTAAATTTAGTTTTACTTGCCAAAGAAAGAAGGAAAATGTACTAGTTAACCTCCTATACAATTTATAATGCAATATAGATAATCTGCGTGAAGTTGCCGCTAAAGACCTCCCAAAATAAAAACCCTAAAGTATCTGCGCCGTGCATGCGCCAAGTCGCCGTGCAATTAGACGGTTGATAGATTGAGTTTTATTAACTTTTTGCAATTAGTATTGCATTTTATGGATTTTTAGCGATGGTGGAGTTAGATATCAGAACCACTAAGTAAACAACAAGTACAAAATTACCTAAGGACAATTTAAAAACCAAAAAAACGTAGGCCTGTCGCAGATACAAGTACAACGTAAGAACTAAAACTGCGCCGTTCACTCGGTTTCGAAGAACACAATATCCACGTAGTGCATGCAGTACTGAATAGTAATGTTTACACAGGGGCAGTTTAATAGTTGTCTTTATTTTAATCTTAATTAATATTACATTCAGTCACGAACAGCACCCTATTTTTACATATTTTGCTGTTCTCTGTAACCGCCTTTGTAGTGTTATCACCGCTCTAAAGTTGACTGGGAGAGATTCACCTTTTGATCAAGCAGGGTGCAGTTTTTTTTTAAATTATAAGAAGTACCGAATTGTAAGTATCTGAAGAGATATCGACGTTATAAGATGCGCGATATTTACCTATTTTTTATTCATAAACTACGGGGTGCAGTTTAAATGATAAACATTTTTGAGAAGTGCTATTAAAAACACATCTATGCGTATTTTTATTTATATCTATATCCCAAATTCGTAGCCTGGGGTAGGGTAGCTGACAAAACCTCCATGGTTCCAGTTTTGTCCACCTGAACCATAGACAAAGATTGCTAGTATTCTCTGTTGGAGTGTAGACGGCATGGAGTATAAAGGTACTACTACTTCTACACTCCATAGGTACTACTATGGTATGGAGTGTAGAAGTAAGGAGCACCAACTCCCATAGTAGAATAGTTGAAAAAGTGGCCATCTATAACCAGTAAATAACAGTTCAAAAATTCTCCACAACAGCGCTGGAGTAGGAGTAGTACTATGATGATTATAGGATGAAATGAACTTAGCAGTTATCGACGGTTTAAGTGTGCTGCTAAACTGCACAGTAACTCTAAAATCTAAAATAATTTTTTTTTAGTTAATATAACCTCGAAAAAGTCGTCTATCTTTTTCGATACGTTCTTTAAAATTTACCCCGTAGTTATAGTGGCGCCACCCTTATTTAACGGTTTTCTATGGACACTTTTTAATACACAGTCTGTACTCCTTACTACTACACTCCATAGGTACTACTGGGTACTACCGTAGACAGAGACAGAGATTCTCTGTCTACGGTTCTATGCTCAAAGGTCTACGGGTACTACACTCCATAGTCCATAGATTATTTTAAATTAATTTGATAGGTATGGATTATAAAGATTACGTATTTGACATTTGACATGTGTATTACAAAAATGGTGTCCGTATACCAGCTGGCACTAATTTTTTAATGTTTTAAAACCTGACCATTTGTCTAATCTAGTTAGTGAAGTGCTATGGCGACTGTTTTAGATTTGGTTAAACATTACCAACACGCCATAGAAAAGTATCCTAAAGATGAACAGAAAGTAAGTTCAGTTTATGAATTTTTTCCCTTTTTCCCTTTTTTTTTTTTTCAAATGTAGGAGACATTTGAAAAAAAAAATACTGCGAACAGTGAATTTTCGAAATTTGAATTAGGTACTTTTGGATTGTGCAAACTATTTCCGATATGTTTAGAAATAGCTATATTGTCCCTGTAAGCCACATAGCCTAAACTTGTGAGTTTCCACAATTTTTTACATTTTCTTCCAATAGATAACTTTATATTAATGCTTTATTTAGTAACTTTTCTTGAAATTAACATACTTGCCTTTTCAAATATTACACCAAAAGTAATGATTTGAAATAAATCTTTCCTAAATCCTTTGTTGTCATTACAATTTTGTTGACTTCTCTTTATTTTTCCAATCAATATACATAATCTCATTATCCACTAAAATCAGCAAATTATATAAATATACAAATCTTTTTACGGCATGATAGTTCCCTCTTAAGATATTACTTTTTATACAATTACAGGTTGTTTGGGGACCACATATTACTTGAACTGCTTCTGTTGAATTATACCACTTACTGTAAACAGATTTTGTTTAAAGATTAAATAAACTCAATAAAAACCTCCATTTTCTTTAATATGAATTAAACTGCAAAACTTAATTATGATACTAAACTGTAAAACTTCTATTATTCTTCAATTTTTAGATTTTGAAATGCATTGACAAGCTATTTCATTTGAATGTGACAGTCCAACACCTTCAGGAGACAGGTGTAGGACGAACAGTAAATGCATTACGCAAAGAGCCCGGGGATGTTGGTCAAGCTTCCCGTGCCCTTGTTTATAAATGGAAGGTGATGGTAGCAGCCGAAGAAAGTGATCAGGAAGGTGACCACAGGAATGATAGTGAGCTTCAATTATCATGACTTTTTTTGTAACTGGTTTTATGTAATGCTTGCTTCTTCTTATTGAACTTTCACTAAAATTGAATGATACTTAAATGTTTTGTACAATCATAATTTAATTGAATTAATAATTAATGTATGGATTTATTTTACAACAAACTTGAAGAATATAAAGATCTTTTTGTGCATGATGTGTTGATAGTGCATTTCACTGAATGATTTTAGTTGTCACTTTGGGTACATTAAACTTATACTGGATTATTTTAAAAGTTACTTACATTCAAGTTTGTTATTTTTATCTTATTTTAACATGTTTTTAAAAACATTTTACTATTTGTTTGATTTCATTTTTTGTGCAGTTAATAACTCATTAGCAATAGTTTTAGACCCCTTTATTTTGGCTTAAGTAGATTTAACGAAGAATTTAGTTTTGTTATCGTTTTTTCTATAGTTGGCAAGGTTAACCACATTAAATTAGCAACAAATTATTAGAAAATATAGCTGTATCTCAGAATATTTATGTCTTTACAAACTTGATTTTAAATTAAGTTTAAATTAAAGAGATATATAAGTATTTGTTGATTGTTTGAATATTTAACTTATTATTAACACGTCGAGTAACCTTCACTTTTTTGGGGCTTTAATATGAGTGCAATTTAAAATTTATTTTTACCACTAATGGCATTAACTTAAACCCTCACATTATGCAATTTAAATAAGCATTGGTATTCAAAATCTTATATTATTGTCATCATCATCATTATTACAGCTCACGTAGACATTGCTGACAAGTTGCCATTTAGTATAATAAAGTATATATAATTTTTCATCGAACCGTAGGGGCTATTTCTGAAAGCTCACAAATCTTTTCTTGTGTCTCGTTTTGGAGGAGGAATGTATGGCTCTAGAGATATCCTTATACATTACCTTCACCTCCTCATCGGGTTGTGCTGAGGGTGGTACATAAACCTTTGACCTACAATGGATATCGTTTGATTCTGAGAAAAAGTATGAAACTCTTGTCGACACACTGCAAATATTTACAACTTTGTTAATTAAAGACTTATAGTTTTAAATCCAAAACCATTGTGGTGATATAAAAGTCGCCCTAAAAAAAGTCGCCCTCGTAAAATAAAAAAGTCGCCTTCTTGGTGATAGAACAAGTTGTTGGATTTGAGGATTACCATGTTCTCCCTCTCCCTTCGAACTTGAGATAATCTTATAATATTCTAGCACAACTGTTTTATTTCTTCCCTTATCTCCAGGGTCTTCTTATCGGACCTTAGAGTATGTGTGTAAAATTTTTCTAGGTTGAATCGTCGTATGTTAATATGGTCGCCACTGTAGCCGGGAATAACGAACTGTCGTGGTCTGTTCTTCTTCTGCATGTGGTTGGTCATGAAATGTTTCCATAGTCTCCACGCGTAGAATGCGGGTTGGCAACCCTAGTTTTCAGCCATATAGTCCTAAAGCAAGATTATCTGCCTAAATATAACAATATCAAAAGTCAGATTTAATAACCGAGTTGATGGCAGGAGTAAATTCAAACTGCTTATAATATAATTATATCCCACTGTCTCCAGCCAAGATATCAGTCCATCTTTGGACTGTTAGTATGCTATTGGATTTATTGATTTATAATTACATTTATAGCTAATTTATCACAATGAATAGCACCTTCCTAACCTGTAAAACTATAAATTTTTATTATATATTAAAACATACATATATGTAATATGAAATAAAGTAGGTAATTACGTTCTTTATTAAAAAAATGTGTATGGATTGAAAAATAATCAATGATGAAAATGTGGGTTAAAAATTAGTTATTTATTTATATCAGCTACAAACTACAGTGGTCATATAAACAGAGAAGACAGTGAAGATAATGCAAGTAAGCCTAATAAAAGCATGCATGACCAATATGAGAAATCGGCAAAATCTAACAAGTCATCAAAAGATGACCACAAACAAGAACATACAAATGGTGATTACAGTGGAACCAAAAGAAAATATCAAAGCAGCGAGGTTTGTTGCAAAACTTTAAAAAAAATATAATTCCATTTATTATTATAATTCCATATTTAAGACATTTTCAAAATTTTTTTCAGGAAGAGGAACCTGACACTAAAAAATCCAAACACTCTAGCTGTAGTGATGATAGATACAAGAGAAAACAAATTAAACATGAACCTGCAACTAGTGGAAGTGACACACAAGACACAGAGATGTCTCAAACAGAAGACAGTGAATCAGATGTAACACAAAGATCAGAAGGAAACGAAAAACACAAATATAAAGTAAAGGAAGAAAAAAAAGAATATGATAAAAGCTCAACTTCTAAGCGATTTTCAGAAAATAGTCATAGAAGTGATTCTGCTTCTGAAAAATCACATAGTTCTTCTGACAAACATTCAAAGCACAAGTCAGAATCAAGGAAATCCGAAAAAACTTCAGCCGACAAATTAAGTAGCACAAAAAAGCGATCAAGATCAAAAGACAAAGAAAGCAGCAGTTCTAATAAAAAGGAGAAATCAAGTCATAAATCGGTTGAGAAAGAAAAGAAAAAAGACGAATCATCAAGTAAACATAACAGCAATTCAAAAAAGGATCATTCAAGTAACACAGATAAACATAAAATCCAATCAGAAAAACATTCTGACTCATCTAATAAGCACAGTAGTTCGAATCAAAAAATTGAAAAGAAAAAACACAAAAGCTCTTCAGATAATGACCCATCAAATGATAAGCATAAGTCGAAAGAGCAAAGTAGTAGTAGTAAACACAGTTCTTCAAGTAAGGAAAGGTCAAGGGACAAAGATACTTCTACATCTAAAGACACAGACCATAGCGACAAAGCTAATAAAAAAGGTTCTTCTGATAGCAGTTCAAAAAGTAAAAAGAAAGATAAACATACGAAAGACAAGAAGGATGTAAAGGACAGTGAAAGAGTAGATGATAAGAAAAAGAAACATTCAAGTTCTTTGTCTAAATCTAGTAAATCCAGTTCCAGCAAAGTAAAAGAAGATGTATCAAAGAAAAAACATATTAGTAATAGTGAGGACAGTGAAGATGGAATTGATTGTGAATCAGGTAATTGTTTAACAACTTTCTAAGGAATGTGCCCAAGCTTAGAGAAAAGAGCAAGACAAATATAATTTATGATATTAAGATACATTGTTATATTGCTTCTAGTAAAATGGAGCAAAGAAGAGTCTGCTAAATTTTTTTCTTTGTTCCCCCTTTTCGAATTTTGTTTTTTTTTGGCGGCTGCATTCTCTATTCGGGTCATAACTACATAATAATACCAGCGTGAAACAGCAAATGCTGCTGTGTTTTGAGTGGTGAAAGTGGTGTGGTGAACCGAAGACCCTATTTACTACTAACAAGGTATTCCATCTTAGTCCTCAATGGTACCAACACATCTGCATTTCAATTCTTAAGTGATGATATATCTATATAGGCCATTGCATCCACTTTACATCTGGAACACTATGTGCCAGTTTGTAACCCTTATTATATATATTTTTTTTAAACAATTATAGGATGTGAAAATTTCTTCTCATAAATTATGAACCCTAAGGGGAAGGAGCTTTCTTCCTTTTTCTGCCTTTTTAACAAAAAAGAATAATTAAAATTGCTTTACAATTGGCGGAAATGTTATGTAACATATTTACAAACAAAAAAACAAATTGATAATCTCCGTTTTGAAATTGGTTAAAAAGTAACTGGTAGACGGTAAAACTTCATTGTAACTTTTGAATTCATCTAACCTCTACTCCACATCATTTCGTGGGTTTCGTAAGAGGCAACAGAGGGAAACACATGAGGGTAGTAGCTTCTTCCTAATAATGAATAAAAATAAAAAACCGCGGTTCCCAACCAGCTTGCCTTCTTAAAAACACTGAGCACCTAAAATTTTTGTACAGCATGGACTACTTACCGTTTCAATATCTTCAAATCTTTCCTCTCGCATTCACTCGGTAGATAAAAATCACTAAGTGCAAGGTCTGGTGAATATGGAAAATGTTTTAAACCAACCAAGTATTTTAAAACCAGCATCAAATTGCAGCCATTGCAACAAAGGTCTTGAGAGCCGTGGCGTTATTTTAGTGAAACAAAATAAAGCATACACACATACATACCTAACACTCTGCACCGTCAACTACTACGTACATCAAGCATTGTGAATTATCTTTATAGAATATAATAGCGCCGAGAAATATATGATGCTGAGATCACCAGTTCACCCTGCCAAGCATTACAATTATGGAAGATGGAATACTTGGAAGGGTGTCATTAAAGGCAGGAAGGCTATTTAGGGGCTCATGATGAAACGAAGATGATTATTGTTAATCATTGTTTTTTTATTTATTTACAGGTGCTAGTTTTGCTGAAGCACTAGGAATGATTAGTCCTACTAAACCAAAAAAGAAATCTGCTACAACGAAAGATGTTCACTCACCTAATACATTTACTGATGTAAGTGTTTTCAAGGAAGTACTATAAATTAAGTAGATGTAATATCTTGTTGCGTAATGCGATAACAAAATATCCTATTAATTTTATTTGTTGTTGATAACAGCGAACGCAATTATACTAAACCTTGAAGTGCTAATAGGCCCTGAGCTCGATTGTCACTCAAAGCAAACCCTGCAGTAGTGGTGTAAAAATATCCACAACCCCAAATCGTCCTGTCGGTATCGTAAGTTGCGAGTTAGGGGAACAAACTAAGAGGTAGGCAACAGCGTCCTCCTAATAGTTACAAAGAAGATACCTCAGTTGCCAACCCCGACTATGAGGTGATCTATGGGCGAGGCCTATGTTCAGCAGTGGACTTATGATAGGCTGTAACGGTTACTGCCTCATATGTAGTTATATTGCCTCTTCTTTTTCCTTTCACACGCGAAGACAAACAATGAAGGTACTGTTGTTTGACGACAGAAATAGGTAAGAAAGTAATACCTACTCAGATTGACTCCTAGGTAGCAAAGAAGAATAGAATGTACAACTATTATAAGGTAATCGATTAAGTAAAGAAACATCCGAATATATAACTGTACAAGTTTTATATAAAAAAATGTTTACGATTAGGACTTTAATGTTAAAAATAATGGCAAGAAATAGAAATGTTTATTTACAATCATGCTTAAATCAGTTTACTGATAACCGTTTTGAATTGACTTTGTTCGAATAGACATTTCATCTAAATCTTATTTTATATCATGAAAGTGCCATAAGAACTTTCAGTTTACTTAGTGATAAGTGTCGAATTCACATAAGATATATTTAATATATTTTCTTCTTCGCCAAATTTTTAATTCGATATTGAATGGTAGGGCTTCCTACTGTTGAACGGTTGGTGACCACAAATTTTACAGACCTGTTACCGCGGGCGATAAGTACATGAATTGGCAGTAGATGTTTGTGTACAAGAGATATTTAAATGAGTCTAAAATCCAGTCGGAGCCAACAAATTGGACTCCAATTGTTAGGTTTCGTCTCTTGTAGGTTTAGTACTGTTATGATTGTTTACTTATTTATTTATTCTTTTTTACACACCTTATAGTAAGGGATATAAATCTGGTCTGACACACCAGGCTTAAAACATTCTAAAACCTTAATCCTGGCTTTTGATCGTAAATTCGCTTCAGAAGCCCTGGAATTAAGTAAAAATAAATTGCGCATTCTGGCAAGAGCCCTACCTGGCCACTGTTGTCTTAAAAAGCACATGTCCATCCTGAGACTAAGCAACTCAAGAATGTGTCGGTTCTGTTCCGTAACGGAAGAAACGCCTCTACACATCCTGATTGCGGACCCTTAATGCGCAAACGTAACACTCATCTGCAGCAGTATAGCATAGCAGCGATCACAATAGATCTTCTAGGTCGCAGTGATACTGGTCTCTTTCCCTAGAACTGCATAGCTGCTCGCACATAATTAAAAAAAAAGGTGTTTTCTACCAGTCAGCACTGGATTATTTGAGAAACTGTGGCATTGTTCTTGTCTATGAACTGCATACTCTCCTTTGATGATATTGCATAAGCATTAACAAAGTCAAGCGTAAGCGTGCTTATATCTTACCAAAAAAACTTTTTCAATGTGTTCCACATTACGATTTTTATTTAGTCCTTGATAAGTTGTTTAATAAATTTATTTTTATATTAACAGCTTAGCCCAGCATCACTACTAGCTCCAACTGCGAAACTCGCGCCCTTACCGCCTTTAGAAATCTCCGCTTTACCAGAAATCTCACCTAACTACAGGCCACTGCCCCCACCAAAACTACTGCCGCATTTTACAGACGAGGATGCCATGAATCATGTTATATCGTCTAAAAACCAAAGGTATTTTTAGCAATCACAAAATTTTTATAATTAATTATTTTTAAATTAATATTTCACTGTCTCTAACTGATAATGGTCTTCTACGATTATGAGAAATCATTTTAAAAAATTCTAAATTTTTAAAACAAAAGCGAAACCTGTTAAATAATAAGTGCTTGTTAGTTATGAACATAGAATACTATAATATGTACATAATAGAACGGGGGAGTGGGCGGAGCCCGTGTAGCCACTAATATGTCACTAACATGTCAATTCACACCTATAAATGTCAACACAATCAATCGTTTTCAATTTTCGTGTGAAGCGTCGCTGCATGCAAATTATTTAAAAATGGCTAATAGTGCAATAATTACGTGTCAAAAGAACAGCGGGAAATGGAATTTAAATAAAGGAGACATATCCTACAACCAGTAAGTCGTAACTATTTATATTTTGTGAATATTAGAAACAAAAATAAAGAAATATGTGTAATATTAATATAAAAAATATGTGTCAAAAACAAATTCGCTCAGTCTGTCGTCATAAAGAATCGGGTTTTGAGTAGTGATAACTGATAATACGACGTAATTGTTTGTGCCGGGAGTACCGGCGACGCCGATCCTCGTACAAAATAAGGTTGACAGTCATGCTATTGTGTATTCTAGTATTCTATGGTTATGAAAATATACGGATCATCGCTTATAATCGTCTTCATTACAATTTTTAAAATTAATGTAACTGCCGCATTCTTAGATTCTCTTATATAATATTTAAAGTTACTTTTTTATAACTGACCCCTTTTACAGATAATGAGACAATTTATCTTAGACCTCAAGGAAGAAGTTTATATATTTATCGCAGCTCTTCACAAGTCCACTGCTAAACATCATCCTCCTCCAAGGAATGCCACTTGCAGTCCCTGCATGTCTTAACAGGTCTTTAGTCCGTGTAGTAAGGTCTGTCCTACGCTTTGCTTACCAGTATTAGGCTGCCACCCAAGAAACCAAGAACTTTTCCTCCTCAAGGGTAGTAATGCATTTCGATTATTAATTGAAAATAGATGTATGAAGTAAGGCCGCATCATCCACGTTTTTTAATTGTTTGTCAGTCTTATTTATTTTATATTACGTATTTTATACATGAAATAAAAGGTGAGGCATGGTACGCGTGGGGAAAAGAAAAGATACGTCTTCACCGTACGTCGGTCGTTTATTGAGTCCCAAATACAATCATTTCTTATAAAATCTAACTTATGCTAAACGCGCTTGCGCAGCAGAGTCAACTTCAAGGTAATGCACTACATCTCCCCCGAAAAGTAAGGGGTACCTCACTACCCTCTTTAGGAAAAGAAAAAAAATGATTAGTGTACATATAACTTAAGACTAATAACATAATGAATGTATAGGTACTTATCTGAAAAGCAAACATTTTTTTTTTTGATTACAAAGATAAACATTACAATTGAAATGGCTTTGTGTTATTTTTATGTAAAATAATTTCTTTGTTATTTTTTAGAAATTTTACATTAGGTGGTAATTCTTCCAAAACTTTATAAGGTCCTTCATACAAACAATCTAATTTGTTACCTGTTTGGTTTTTTATTAAGATTAAATCTCCTGGCTTATATTGTACTTTATTACATTTTTGATCATACTTAATTTTTCTTAAATTTTTACTTATTAACAAATTTTCCTTAGCATCCAACTGTGCTTTTTGTAAACGGTACTTTAACTCCTTAGGGTAATCATCGAAATTATACAGTGGGTCAACATGTGTTGATAAATTACTAGGAATATTACAAATTTTGCCGAAAACTAGTTCGTATGGAGTATATTTTGTTTTTGAATGAACGCTTGTATTGTAACAAAAACACCAAAAAGGAACCCATTCGCTCCAATCTGACTTGTTATTATTGCACTGAATTCTGAGGTAAGCGCCTAAATGTTTATGTGTATTTTCAATGCCTCCTAAGGTTTCATGATGATAAGGCGTTGAATGGATTTTTTCTATATGTAGCAATTTGAAAACTTCGGACATAAGTGATGAGGTAAATTCGGTCCCCATGTCACTTAAAATTTTTCTTGGAATTCCATAACGCAAAATAAAATTATTAACGAAAGACCTAGCAACACTTTCACTATCCTTTCTAGGTAAAGGATAAGCCTCTACAAATTTGCTTAAATCACACTGGATTGTTAAAATATACTTATTATTATAGTTATCTATATCTAAAGAGCCCATAATATCTAAATTAACCTGTTCAAACGCTGAGTTAGCAGTTGAAGTGATTGTCAGAGGATCTCTAATATTTCTGTTAGTATGCTTTTGAACTTGACAACTTTTACATTTGCGGACATAGTTCATGACGTCATTGCTCATACCTGGCCAGAAATAATATTTTTTAATATTATTTAACATACGATTCATGCCTGCATGACCACTTGTTGGTAACAGGTGAAAGTCATTAAGTACCGTGGTAATTTCTTCTTTATTATTTATTCGCTTAATGTCTTTAATAATCAAAAATCGTGGTGACGCTATTTTATACATTTTTATGCTGCGCAGCAAACTCTTAATATTTTTCTCATTACTCTTGTTTTTAATTATGAGTAATTCTTTTATATTTAATTTTATGCACATTTTTTCTAGATCTCTCGCTAACTCTTCTAGAGACGATAACGATCGAGAATATAGGAATATGGTCGATAACGACGGGTTATACGTGCAAAGTTTAGCGTCGGACAAAACTTTGCACGTATAGCCCAAAATTATACGCATTATTCAAATGTTTTTCGTTACTATTTCCTGGAAAACGCAACTCTATTATGTCATTGGGTCGTTTTAACAACTCTACAGTAGTAGGTTGATCAGGCCTACTAACTGGAGGCTGTTTGTCTATCTGTCCGGTGTCCGTTTGGGGCTCTAACTTTTTCCTTTGAGCTCTAGTTAAAACGGATACTACTTTTTCCTGCATTTCTTTCAAATCGCGTGACGTCACCGGGAGTCGGCTTAACGCATCTGCAGCTGCGTTATTTCGCCCTGGGACGTATTCTACTTCGAAGTCGTATTCTTCAAGGTATAGTCGGAATTTTGTTAAACGACTAGACGGGTCTTTTAAACCGAATAAGTAAACAAGGGGTCTATGGTCCGAAAAAATTTTAAATTTTCTGCCGTACAAGTAAGGCCTAAAGTGACGGACTGCCCACACGATAGCTAATAATTCTAATTCTATTATTGGATATCTAGTTTCTGCCGGGTTCAAACTCCTACTAGCGTAAGCGACAACCTTTCCATTACTATTTGTGAGTACGGCGCCTAAGCCTAACTTAGATGCGTCTGTCTGCAACTGAAATGTGTTATTTTCCGAAAAGTCGGGATAGTCCAACACTGGAGGGTTCGTTAAAGCAGATTTTAATGTAATAAACGAACTTTCGCAATCTTTAGTCCACTCAAATCTAATACCTTTTTTAGTTAATGCATTCAATGGGAACACAATATCAGCAAAACGTGGAATAAACCGACGATAATAGTTGGCGAACGCGACGAGTCGTTTTACTTCGTCAGCAGAAGTCGGGCGTGGGTAATTACGTATGGTGTCAATTTTACTGGGATCTGGGAATATTCCGTCTTGAGTAATTTTATGACCTAAATAGACTATTTCTTTTCTTAAAAATTCGCACTTAATTGGGTTTAGTTTGAGATTAACTTTTCTTAATCGATTCAATACGCTAATGAGATTTTTGTTATGAATATCGATACTAGAACCGATTACGACGCAATCATCTAGCTATAAAAAACATTTTTCTTAATTTAGGCCTGCCATGGCTATAGTCATCAGCCGAGAAAAGACACTAGCACTTGTCTTGAGACCCATTGGGCACCGCTTCATTTGATACTGTTTTCCTGCCGTAAAAGTAGTGTACTTTCGTGACTCATTATCTAAAGAAATCTGATACATTTTATTTAATGTAAAAGAAGTATATTTACGGGAACTTGGATTTAAGGACAATTGATAATAAGATTAGGAGAGGTCTAATTTTGAAAAATAAATACTGCCTGACAATGAATCAAGTATCTCCGTTATATTGGGAAGCGGAAATTTGTCATCTTGAATTCGATCGTTTAATTTCCTGTAATCTATGACCAATCTCCATTTTCTTTCGTTATTTTTATCGACCTTTTTGGGTACTAAAAGTACTGGGCTAGACCATTCCGAAACGGTTTCCTCAATGATGTCGTTTTTTTAACATTTCCTGAACTTGTTTTTCTATCTCACCTTTTAACGCCTGAGGAACCCTATAAGGCTTAGAATAAACTGGGGTCACGTTATCTTTTAAAACTATGCTATGTTCCATTAAGTTCGTAACTGATAACGAATCACCTGGTAAATGGAAAATATCTGCGTATTTGGCACAGATTTGTTCAATACTGAGCCTTTCTTCCCTATTTAAATAACTCAAATCAAGTAAATCAAATAAAGTTTTTATTCGCTCAACAGTTTTTTCTTCGCTTTCGAGGTGGCATACCTCGAAGTTACTAATGGAATGGACATTGACCTTTGAAAAATCTATATCAATATCCTCATTTCTCGTATTCAACACTCTAATAGGAATACTTTTATTTAATGGTTTAGCTAACATTCCTGCGATAAAAATCCCTTCCTCAATTTCTTGAGCTAAAATAACGCTATCTTCGCTTAAAGTGCAAGGAATATGTTTGATAACTTCGCAACGGGCGGGTATGACGTGTCTATACCTATCACTCCATCTACCCATATTAAGACAAACTACGGAACCCTGATTCGATAACTGTAAGGTTCGTGTTTCGTAGTTGATTATCGCATTATAACGCTTAAAAAAATTATCGCCCAATATACCGTTAGCAAAACAAGAGAGATTCTTAAAAACGTAAAATTTCTCTCTAAAAGTTATGCCATTACAAACTAAATCTAAGTAAATATAACCGTCTGAAATTAATTTACCACTAACGCCCTTAATTGTTATTTTATCATAATGTAACTCATTCAAATACTCCTGGTTATCGAGGAGCCACTCATATTTCATAACACAAATGCTCGCGCCCGTATCTACTAAAAGACTTACCTTGCTATTATTACTTACATTTAAATCTACTACATTGTTTATGCTATAATTACAAACGAAATGATCACTAATTGTAGGGGCGAAAAAACTCACTATTCGGTGCAGATTGAGTGCGTTCCACGCTCTCAATGTGCTCCGATTGTATCTGAGAAACGCGGGCGTTTACATTTGGGCGAGATGGGTTGTACCGACCTCGGCCTCGCGAAGTACCCCGTTGGTACCTACCACGATTGAGCCCTCGAGAGTTACCCCTGTAAAATGTCCTGGAATTCGATCCGCTTTGCGCTCTCTGATGGTTATAATTAGTATTTGAGCGAGCTTTTTTGGGCCTCTTTTATTTCTATTAAACTGATTGTCACGACTGCGGTAAATGTTCAACACATGCTCGTTACGAGCTGATGATGTGCTCTCGTCCAGCGCGGTTTGAATCGCTTCTGGAAGAGACTGGAATTGTCGGGAGGCTATGATAATGCTCAAACGCGAATCTGATAATCCGTCTGCGAAACGCTTAATCGCAATTTTCTCGTTCAAAGGACGAAGTGTTTCGTATTTTTTGTCATCACCGTCAGCCTGTGCTATAGTCAAGTTGACGAACAACTGTTCTAACTCAGAGCCGAACTTATCAATAGATCTACGGCCTTGGCTTGCGCTATTAAGCTGCGATTGCAATGCTACCGCGGATTTCTTCTGAATTAAGTGAGTGCGCATATCTAAAACCAAACTACTCACGGACTCGTAGCTAGATTTTAACCTCAGCTTGGCGCTAGGGGTCAGTCTAGTTTTCAAAACGAAATCAATTAATTGTTTTTTGCCATTTTCGTTAAGCATATCACTATACATCACAATACTATCTATCAGTTGAGTAGTAATATTTTAGTGGCCTGTCATTATTGGCAATAGGGCTATTGCCGTTTTTAAATCAAAGGCGCCCATGCTGGCTGAGTTATTGGAACTTTCTGATTCACGAGACATTAAATTTAAAATATTACTGTACAAGATATGTATGTCGTCTATGCATCTATTAATAACCTGAAAATCATCGCTACTTATCTCAGAATTCTCTATTTTTAGTTTGATTTTAGACGAAATATACTCCAAACGACTGTACAGATTTTTCGCTTCACTAACTTTTTCTTTTGCTGTATCGGAACTCTCTACGTTTTGGTCCGATTTTCACTAGATAATCTCTAATTTCTTTTAAACTACTGTACACATTATTTAGTTCAGCTAGTGACATTGAAAAAAATCGACAAATATAATTTCTAACAGTAAAGGAAAAGGAAACTATTATTTACACACTATGTAAAAACACTTAAAAATTATAATTTCACTTACTTGTTAAAATATCACGTACATACTAATTACAAGGGCGGGGCGATGGTGTTTGTGGATGTAACCATTTTTAGGGCGGCGCGAGCAAGCGGGAACAGCACTGCAAACAGGATGTGTGGCTGCATGAGGTCATCTTCTTGAAGCGGGCCGGGTATTACCCTGGACACCTCTTGAGATCTTCTAGTTAGTTGTAGGGCGGGCGATGTTTTCAAGCGAGATTGCGTTGAGTTCTCGCCTCAGAGTTTTCACGGCACTCTTCCTGCATTTTTTCATCAGGTAATAGATAACTGCTGCAGCCAGTATAACCACGGATACAATCATGAGGGTTTGTATGATGTGGTTTGTGTGAGCGTCTTCTAGGCTTGTATTTGCGGATGCTGCACCATTTGCGTTTTGTGCTATGACTACTTCTTTCGACTGCGATTTTCCCATTTCGTACCTTTATTTCTCTTTGGATTTCTGGCGTTTCTTCTTGGTTTTTTTTTTGTTTTCTTCAAAATAGGGCGCTTCTTTTTTCTTTCTTCAGAATTTGTGCTTCTTTCTTCTATATGGTTTTCTTCATTCTTCTGTAAGGTTTTCTTCTTTCTTCTATAAGGTTTTCTTCTTTCTTCCGAATTTGGTTTTTTTTTTGCACTGGTTTTTCACTTAGTGGGTAATTTCTTTGTTAGCATCATGGCAGGGTCGCCATGAGGCATGGTACGCGTGGGGAAAAGAAAAGATACGTCTTCACCGTACGTCGGTCGTTTATTGAGTCATTAATAAACACGGCTAATTGTTTCGTTCTCAGAGAGAAACCAGGAATATACGAGTTTAAAAGATGAATGAAATTCTCTAAAATTTGTGACACTGTTATGTTTTATATCAAATACTAAATGCAGTAACAATATTAAATGCACAATAAATTTAGACTAAACATCATCAGCTACTAAAACTAAAGTTTAGTTAAAATTTAAATTAAGTTAGGAAACTAAAAAAATACAAAAAAAAAAGTAAACGAAATGTCAACTAAGTTATAGAGAATTTCTTACTGTATAAGTTATAATAACAATGTTAAGAAAAAATATGTTCCCCATTTCAGAACAAAGGTTTACTCCGGTAATAAAGTTCTCGGGAAAATACCAACCTTATACGAAATGTGCGTTCATATTCTTCAAGAACACATCGATGGTAAGAATGAACATTTCTATTGTTTAAACTATTATGCCTGTTTAAACCTTCAATTTTGTTGTAAATGTAACAGACTCGTTACTTTTACATTTACTTCCCTTAGTGTATTTAACATATTTGGAAAATCTTTTAAATAAATTCTTTAATTTGTAATTTGGATTGTAATTAATTTCATTTGTACTCTTTTCACTTATATTTTAATACTGGTTAATAACCGGTTTGGCTTAGTAATATGAACAATGAACATACGTGCAATGAATTAATTTTTAAAAAAGGTAAAACATACCTCAGGGATGTCATATTAATTAAAAATTGGGTTATAATAATTTTTTCATTTTTTATATACACCTATGATTGGCATGAAACTGTATAACACAAAAAAATATTATTTTCAGCTCTAGAATATACTGGCGGCGTGCCATACGAAATATTAAAGCCAGTCGTCGATAAAGCAACACCTCAACAACTTTTTATGCTTGAACACTATAACCCGTACTTAATGGAGGACACAGATCATTTGTGGCAGAAATTCTGTGAGAAACACTTCCGTAATAAGCAAAGGCAAGAACTGGAGACATGGAGAGAAATGTACATGGTAATTTTATCAGTAACTTTGTTATTCTTAATATTTATATGACAGAGTAAATCGTATCTGTACTTCTTTTAAATATTGTTCTTGTTTCTTTGTAATTGTTTTTAATATTGCATATTTTTACATGAATTTTGCAGAGATGTCAAGAAGAGCAGGAATACAGGTTGAGATCCCTTACAGAAAATATAAAGATTGCTCAGGAGGCAAAGAAAGCTCCTATTAAACAAACTAAAATGGCGTATGTTGACACCATAGTGAAGCCACCGCGAAACATAGCGAGAAAGCAAGTGAGTTTCAAAAAAAAAAAGAAGAAGCTTGGTAAAAATTCAATGTCTTATATAATTATATCTATATTAGATTAAAACTAACGTGATTCAATGTTTATCTTCTCTATACATAAAAATCAAATGCTGTCCGTTAGTTTCGCTAAAACTTTATGTGTAGATGGTTTAGATTTACATTTGGACCCGTTAGTTAACGTTGTTGTCGAAATCCCTATTATAAAACTTTTTGTTTTTACAATGTGCCAGATAAAAATATGCAAAGGTTAAGTATAACTGATTCAAGCATTTAACTTTGCGGTATAATTACGGTGAAAAAGGTGGCTTATAGAAACGTTTTTTACGTGGTAGAGCCATACTGCAGCTATACTATGGTTGTAGCACGAATGTGTCGTTTCGACCGAGGTAGGACCACGCTCTCACAGAATACCAGCGTAAAATAATGTTGTGTGTTTCGCATGGTGTGTTTCTCAAGGATGACAATGCATCTACATTTTGAATCTTAATCGAGAATAAATGTAGATGTCTATGGGCCTCAGTATTCACTTACCATCAGGTGGACTGTGTGCTCGTTTGTCACCCGTATATTATAAAAAAAGTCTTGAAGATGCTGAACCGCACCGTTAGTTAACGATATAAGCATCTTGTGTTAAAACAAAGAAAAGATTAAGTTCAAGTTAGTTTTAGTTACGTGTATGTTAAGTTATTGATCCAAGTAAGAAGGTTTTTTGATAATTTATAGTCAACCAAATCTAAGAAATACATTTTGACAGCTGTCAGACTTATTGCACCAAGTATGCCAACCAAAAAATGGGAACGTACTATATTCGATTCTTAAAGAAATTGATATCGATTTAGTTTGGTTTGAATAATATCAGAAAAAATTAAAAACAGACAACACTCTGTATATATATACAGGATAGGGTGACAAACGAGCACACAGTCCACCTGACGGTAAGTGAATGCTATAGCGTATAGACATACATATTTATTCTCAATTAAGTATCAAAATGCAAATGCGTTGTCACGCCTGAAGGACTAAGATGCCTCGGTTCCAGTAAAAAGGGTCTCCGGTTCTTTACACTCATTATACGAAACACATCAGCATAACGCTGCTATGTTACGCTGGTATTCTGTGAGAGCGTGGTCCTGCCCTGGTTGAGCCGACCCATTCGTGCTACAACTATAATATAGATGGAGCGAGGCTCTACCACGTACAAAAAGTTATTATAGGAGAAACAGTCCAAAAAGTTAAAGCATAGTCACAAAATAAGAAGACAAACAAAAAATCACAAAATTACGCACAGTAAGTTTTCGAAACAGAAACAGAAACTTTTTTATTCAATATGGATTATGAATAATACTTACTGAAAGTCACTTTTTTCATTTACCACTGGTTCGTAAAAAGAGCCTCTGTCCTGGGAAGAACCAGCAAGAAACCCAACGGGACTAGTTTAAAAAAAATAAAAGCTTACAATCATGCGTGTTATAATTAACAACACAAAACAAATTAGAAATAGCTTGGTGGCTATCACCCTTCTCAGCAGTTATCAGCATCCATAAATCCCTTAACATTAAAACCCTTTCTATACATACTTAGTTTAATAAAGTTTCTAAACTTTGTGTACTTACGTCAAATTTTGTATATTTTATGGGATTTTGTTGTAAAAGCGTATACAAAGCCCCAAGAATGAATTACTGACTGTGGAGTCGAGTAGGTACCGAAATGGCGGGATATTGAAATTATGTATTGGTTATTTACCATGGCCTTGTATATGAGTTTTTTTGCCTACACAAATTAACTTTGACAAAATAATAAAAATAAACTAGTTTTATTCATGATTCATGTAATTTAAGGAATTTTGAAAATTTTTACCGATTATTTGAATATTTTGCTGATCATTCACATAATAACGAATTTTAATCATCAAAACACTACGGTATTATTATATATAGCGACATATCATTGAAACAACGTCAAGTAAAAAAAAGTTAATACTGGCTATTTTTTAATATTTTGCTTTGTTTGAAAAATTCGAATTTCAATTAGTGGTAAAAAACTATACACGTTGTAATGAAATATAGATAACTTCATAATTCTTCGGATTTACGTAAAAGGTTATTTTAAATCGTGTGAGTATGCTGGTGCAAAGTTATTGCAGAATGATTAATGTGAAACGTCAAAGGGTATTTCTTAGATTTGGTGGACTATAATTATATTCCTTTATTATTTTTATTTTAAGGCACTACATGGGACCGCACACGCTTCATCAGCTAGTCCTGCTGCGCGGGTAGCTTCGCTAGCCTCAGCGCCCAATGTCCTTCGTGGGGGATCCGTTCGTCCCCCACCGGCGGCTCCAGTTTCTACCTCCACTTTTAGCAAGCCGAAAAAGGCACCGCTCATGCAGAAAGCACTCCAGTTCATGCGAGGGCGAAAGCGATGATAATTTTTTTTATTGTGTCATGTAGTATATAAGGGTAGACCGTTTTAATGTACAATAAATTTACAATGTCATCACAAAACAAAACAAACATTGACTGTAAACAGAAAAACACCAAACATTATTTGTTTAGTAAGGGTAAAATTATATGTAAATAAATATATTATATTCATGATTAGAAAATGGGCTAGTAATAATTACACTTAAAAGAAATATTGATTTAGTCTAAAATCGTACCGTTTTTAAAAAAAATACTTTTGGTGCATTACACTTAAAAATGAAAAAATACCGAGATAATATTACGTTAAGATTTTAAGAAAATAACGGCAAAATCATATAGAGATTAGTTAAAATAGTTGACAATCACTATTCAGTCATTACAACCTATCAAGTTTACTGCTGACTTTAAAAGGCCTATCTCATTAGGATGCCATGGCATCGACGCCGGCAGTGCTTCCATGGCTACCGTTGGCGTCCGTGAGACGCCAAAATTAGTCGCTAAAACCAATGTCAGGCGAAATTAGTATCGCTTGTTCATGCACCAGCGTGGCGCCGCTGCCAAGACAAGCAAGCGGGCGGGTTCGAGCTGGCATCGCCGCCAAAATGGCGTCGACGCCAAGCCGTCACCAAGTGAGGTAAGGTTAAGTACGTTCTAATAGAATTTAATATGTTATAATTGGCGACCCTGCCGGTGTCGATGCCATGGCATCCTAATGCGATAGGGCACTTAGCCTCACCCCATAGATTTGCCTCATATGGGGGATATATGCCATAGTTGCTACGCTTGGAATGGATGGGGTTGACAACTGCAGTTTTTTTAATTATTTGAGTTCCTAACAGGAAGATGCTCTCGTTCATCCGCCACAAACGGGTTAAAATGTGTTAGTGAATTCTCTTACGCCGCCAGTACATTAATAGCGAAGATCAAATAAAATCAACCTTCCGCTTGTTTTGTGGAAAGCTAAATACATCCAGGCCCGAAAACCAACAATTTGTGCTATTGCAATATAATAACCTCTAGGCGTGACATCTAACCCAGGGGGGTCACATACTCTAAGCATTAAATCAGTTGGTCATCAAAATGATTGGGCTCACAACAATAATTGTTACGGAATAACTGTTTGTTTTATTTCTTGCCTTACGTACGGTATTTCTGCCCACGTCTGGGAGCACATGGTTGCGTAATCCGTATCATATAATAATATTTATTTATTAGATCCAAAATGGTTCTTGTTACCACACATTAGATTTTAGTACACCCTATTCTTAATTTTATTGAAAAATTTGTAGGACAAGTATGAAATTATATCTCTAGAAATAAACAAATGTAATTAATAAAAATTAATTCATTTATTCATAAAATATGTTCATCTAATTTATATACATAGTCCTAGATTAAGAAAGTTTGGAAATAGACTTTATTTTTATTAACATTAAATTATTTTATGCTCTATCAAAAATTTGCTCTTTACTCTTAACTTTCTGTTTTATTTTTCTTGTTTAATTGAATTCAAAAACAAATTCATATTACATTACAAAATATATGTGATAAAGTGACAGGTGCAAAATACACAAAACTGAAGTAACATACCCGTTAAAAAATTATTTATAACGTCTTGTCAAATTCACATACATCAATTTGTTATTATTCATGCAGTGCGGAGCGACGCTAGCAATAATTTTATATTAAATTAGCATATATGCAAAATAAACGAAAATTTAAAAAATATATACTCAACAATACAATCTAAATAAACAATTATTTATTATGACAATTTTCGCATGCGTGACTCTACTGGCTCCCGCGCTTGTGCGGATACAGAGTAGTGCACATTTTTTGTTTGGAATAGCTTCTCTAGTACTTAGGACGTATACGAGGGCGGCACTGAAAATTTCGGGAATCAAGGAAGTGACACAGCATTACTATTTAAAAATGTATTTATTGCGTTTCGAAGTGTTCTCCGCGAAATTTGACACATTTTTCCATACGATGAAACCAATCATTGACGCAACCATTTCATTCGGAAGTTGGGGTCTCCAAAATGGCCGTTTTGTAGACGTCCGCAGCTTCTTCAGGTGATGAAAATTTGTCCACGCAATTTATTCTTTATTTTAGGGAAAGTATAGAAATCATTAGGGCTTAGGTCGGGGCTGTACGGCGGATGGTCTAACAATTCTATGTTTTCTTGCTCTAAAAACTCTTTTGTTCTGTGTGCGGTGTGAGAACTCGCATTGTCGTGATGGAGGATGATGCGGCGGTTGCAGTTCTACAGAGTACGGAGTTCAGAAACGACCTGTGGCAAACAAATGCTAGCATACCATTCTGCATTAACCGTTCTTTGTCCCTCAAGAGGAATAATCGTAACATGGCCGGCTTTGGAGACAAACGTGGCCACCATTTTTTTTTTTGCAACACTCCGTGAACGAACAATTTTTGTTGGCTTTAACTCATTTTCGAACACCCAAACTCGTGACTGGTTTTTGTTTCGGGTTCGTACGCATATATCCAGGATTCGTCACCTGATACGATGTTGTATACAGCATTTGAGGATCCTGCGTGGAATCTTTCGAGAGTTCTGACGCACCAAGTAACGGGAGCCGCTTTTTTCTCTTCACAGAGCGAATGCGGTATCCATCGGGAAAACAACTTTTTTACACCTCATTGTTCATGCAAGACTATTTGTATTTGACTCATGCCAATGTCTAAAGTTGCCTGAATTTCGCGGTATGTCACATGCCGATCTTTCTCAATCAGCTTACGCACAGCATCAACGTTTTCTTGGGTGACTGCAGTTTTTGGACGACCTTGACGGGGATCATCACTGAGCTTGACACGTCCACGTTGAAATTCAGCAAACCAGCGATAAATTGTGGTTTTGGATGGGGCTTCATCCCAAATGCAGAAATCATCCGGTCCACACACTGTTTTTGTGTTAAACCACTTCGAAAGTCATAATAAATCATCGCTCTTGAATTTTCTCGAGTCAATTCCATTTTCTCAACGACTAAACAAGTGTGACAAAACTTTGTGACAAAACCGAAAACCTTTTTTTTAAATAAAAAAATGGTATTCGATTTTTAAAACCAAGGAGTTTTCAATTAAAAAGATTTTAATACGACAGGAACAGTGGAAATATTTTCCCGATTTACATTCCCGATACTTTTAGTGCAGCCCTCGTATACATATATATTAGTCCTAGATTAAGAAAGATTGGAAATAGACTTTATTTTCATTAACATTAAATTATATTAATGCTTTATCAAAAATTTGCTCTTTACTTTAATGAATTCACATTAAATTACAAAATATAGGTGATAAAGTGACAGGTGCAAAATACACAAAACTGAAGTAGCATACCCGTTAAAAAATTATTTATAACGTCATGTCAATTTCACATACATCAATTTTTCTATTGATTTATTTAAATTAGTAACAAACTTAATTTTTTTTTGTACTTTAGGTATGAAATAAAAACAGTTTTGTTCCTGTGTAACCAAAAGTATGTAAATTACATTATTTAAAATCATCGATATATATGTACTACGCACTAGATTTGGCATTCAGAACACTCACTATGTTCAACTTAACTGTACTGCAATCCGTACATCTGTTATTATGGATTCGATATTCATGCAGTGAGTGCAGGCGTTAACAATAACTTTATATTGATTTAGCACATATGCAAAATAAACGAAAATTAAAGAAAATGTACTCGATTAACAATACAATCTAAATAAACAATTATTTATTATGACAATTTTCGCGCGTTTATATCAACTGCGGCGACTACTTTTGTGCGGATAGAGAATAGTGCACATTTTTTGTTTGGAATAGCTTCTCTAGTACGTAGTACATATAACTCAATGTTTAAAACTATGTTAATTTGAAAGAAATTCATTTGTAGGAAACATAATTGTGTATTTTTTTATATATTGTTAATTATTCTTGCATAAAATTACATATTGTAAGGTACATTGAACAGTCCACTCGTTGGTAAGTTGATACTGCAGCACATGAACATCTTAAACCAACTGTACATAAATAAGGCTATACAGTGTTATTAGCAGCCGTAATATCGCTTTATTTACCTTAAAATCCGAACAAAATAGTGGAGACAACCCACAAAAAATAAAGGCAGTTTTGTTTGACTTAATAATAAGAAAAATATTCTTTACTTAAAATGGCAATAGTAATTAAAATTTGACATAGGTACTATTCTTTCGTTTCTTGTAAAATTAAAATAAAAGTGATGTAGTCTTAGAACATATTATTAGTAAAATTTACATCGAAGATAAAAGAATGTACTTGCAAGCATAAAAGGATTCGTATAGAAGACAGCATAATAAAACAAAGCTCTACCAACACTAACATCTATTGCATTATATACAAAAATAAAATAAAAAACAGCAGTCAAGGTGGTAAATAAAACATATCACAAGTCAGTTGATGTTTTCATATTTTTATATAACTGATCAAGATGTACACTTTCTTCATTCATTATATAATTCTATAAAATGAATAATTGATCAATATGTACATTGTTTCTTATTTAACCAAATAAACAATATAAAAATAATAAAGGATCAATATTTTGCTCTTAGTATTTTATATTGTGTATTAAACATTTTAATCAAGTTTTAGTCATACATGTGTGTGCGTATGTGCGATGAATGCTGTTTATATTGATACATCGGTAATTATAAAATTTTACGCAAAACAAAATGCGTAATTTATAATATTTAATAATAATATATGTTTTAAACTAAATAAAGCAAATCTGTCCGTTTTAGACGTTATTAAAAATATTGTTTAAGACGATATCTGGGCGACATTTCGTCCATCTTCATATATAGAATGACCTTTCAACGGCTAGACCGATTTTTATCAAATTTTGTATGTAATTAACAGGATTCGAGAATGGTTTAGATTCACAATTGGGTCTAGGTGACACTGTTGTCGAGATACAAAAATTACAAGTACAAATGTATTACTCTATTTTCTC